GCCTGTTCCTAGGATAATTTTTATTTGGATCCTATAGGTACCGATACTCAGATCACTGATCGTCCTATACATTACAGTCTAACTGTGGTAATATTGAAGTTGATATGGCTATGCATTACCGCTCTGGATTGAACTACGATCATTTTAGTTTCAAGATAAAAACAAAACCGGATAATAATCTGACGTCTTGTTCGCTGTAAATACATTAACCACAAATGTCACCTACATAAACATGAGCAATGTTAACGACATTGTCGAATCGTGCGAATTCTTCGTCACGAATTCGCGAATGAAAGCTGGTGACATATTATATTATGTGTGTGTATGGGTGTGTGAGGCTTTCGTTTTCTTCGCACACATGCGACAATTCAATACTAGTAAAATAATAAGCCAAACTCTCTTAGTTAACGTGTGCATTAACAAACCTCAAACTATTTTTTTTTATTATCTATAGGTACCTGTTACTTTTCTAGTAGTTGTCTTTTGAGCCAGTCCGTTATTTCAATGTATAGGAAACAAAAAAAAAAGTAAACGAAGAGCTTTATGATTCATCTGATTTCAACCGTCTTTCAGAGTCCATAATTTTATTCCTACCTAATCGTTGGTCGTCGATCTCAAAGGCGCAGTCTGAGAGAATTGCTAACACTGATTCTAGGGAGAGCAGTGTTTCGTAGAATCTACTACAGGATGCGAATCGGGACCCACTGAGAATATCCGGCGAGAAACTCAGTTGGATATGCCCATAAGCATCACTATGTCACCTTGGGACGTAAAATGTATCTCTCAATTGAATACCCGTCAAATTGACAGCGAAAAGTTACTTTTGCACGACATGCTTAAATCATTAAAATATACTTCACTCTGTATATAAATGTTTAGACATTTAGCTTATTAACTAATGGTCCCCCAATAGCCGAAATTCGACTAAAATTAAGTGAAATTATAAGTTTCAATATTATTATCGTTCTATTTCGCCAAGACTACACTACAGACAAATAATATTAATCTTTTCTTAATTTGACCACAGACTTTAACAAAAGTTTGACAGTAAATTCAGAGTAATATAATAATATGTATGTGTGTTGTGTCAAATGCATGATAGTGGGTGTAATGTTTCTTTTTATTGATTTAACGTATTGGTAGATATAATTTAAAAAAATATTAACATTCCGCACTCCTTCTCTATATTCTCAATAAGTGTGGGAAATTTCATACTCCTCCGTCCCCGCAATTTTCTTAAACAGGAGTACAAAGTTTTTGCTTCGCGTATTAATATATACCTGTACTCGTATTTAATACCTTCAACTATTTCTTTGTACTAGAGGTCCCGCAGTAGTCGAAATTCGACTAAAATTTATTGAAATTGTAGGTTTGTACACTATTATGATTGTATTTTATACTTCTATAATCACAAATTTCGCCAAGACTACACTATAAAAAAATATGAATAAAGACAAACAATATCTAATCTATCCTTAATTTGACAACAGACGTCAAGAACAAAAGTTTGACAATAAATAGTATGCATGCGTGTGTGCGTCAAATACATGGTATGTAGTGTGTGTATTGTTTTCTTTATTGATTTAATGTATCTTTTATGCATTATTTAAAAAAAAATATAGCATTGTGCACTTCTTCTCTATATTCTCTATAAGTGTGGAAAATTTCATACTCCTCCGTCCGCGCAATTTTCGTAAAAAGGGATACAAAGTTTTTGCTTCACGTATTAATATATAGATAACGCGAAAGTCAACTTACAACTCACATGAAACGGGCGGTTTATTACGAAAATTGGAGTTACAGTTTTCGAAGCTATTGCTGCCGTGTAAGTAAAACACTTTGACTTATAAATTGGATAAAACAGGCCCGGATTTTCGTTCGTTTTTATTAATAAACTAGCTGACCCGGCAGACTTCGTAGTGCCTCAATCGATAAATAAAAGACCTAAACTTTTGTATAAAATAAACTTAAAACAAACAAAAGGAATCCGTCTGGCGGGGGACACATCTAAGGGAAAACAAAATTGTTATTTTTATTTAATTCCGAGCATTTTCATATTTATCTACCTTTTAAACCTTCTCTGAACTTCCACAAATAATTCAAGACCAAAATTAGCCAAATCGGTCCAGCCGATCTCGAGTTTTGGTGAGACTAACGAACAGCAATTCATTGTTATATATATAGATTTTTTATTGCTTAGATGGATGGACGAGCTCACGGCCTACCTGGTGTTAAGTGGTTACCGGAACCTATAGACATAAACAACATAAATACCGCACCCACCTCGAGACATGAGTTGTAAGGTCTCAGTTTTAACAGTACAACGGCTGCCCCGCCCTTCAAACCGAAACGCATTACTGCTTCACGGCAGAAATAGGCAGGGTAGTGGTACCTACCCGTCCAGGCTCACCGCTATCGATTAAACAGCTATTCTCAAGTTTTGTGACCATTTCTTGTGTGACACGGGAAAAGTTAACTTTTATTTTTATAACAGGAAAGCTGTGGTAGTTGAAAGCGACTTACAGATTCAAAAGATAGGGCCGGGCGAACGTGACTGTATTGACGATTGCAATGTACAAACACAACTGTACAAAATTTACATACCTAAATCTTTTTTTTTTGTTTATACTTAAACAAGCTTTTGCAGGCGACTCTGTCCGCGTGGAATAGTTACTTTGGCATAACGCTAAATTTTACCCCCCACTTCATTTACGTAGAAAGTAAAAATATTTAAAAGAAAAATAATGTTAAGGAGTTATTTAAGGTACCAAATCACGCTTTTTAACCAACTTGCATTGGTCTTACCGTGATGTTATTTAGCCTACCTCGATAAATGAGCTATCTAACGCTGAAAGAATTTTTGAAATCGGACCAGCAGTTCCTCAGATTAGCGCGTAGAAGTATAGATAAAACTGGCCTGCAATTTGTTCCACGTTCGTTATTTGTTATACAAATGCAAGTTCTTCTTAAAAGAAATAACTAAAATTGAGTAATTGACCTCATCCAATCCATTCTTCAGTAATGATCACTAAACATCAATTGAGCTGTGAGCTGTTTTCCCAATAACGGGCAATTAAAATTGGAATTGTGTGGAAATTAGAGCTGAAACGTGTTTTGGTTTAAAATCATAACTAAAACACGTATTTTTTTTTCCATTTCAGATGTTCCTGCTAGTTCTTCTGTCAACGAGGACGCACTTTTGTGTGAGTGTTCGCCGGAAATGACGTCATAATGGCAGAGCTTTCAATATTTTTCTTAAAAAGTCAGTTTTTTTTTCCTACCTAAGCTGAGAGCCATGAGAGGCTATTTCGGCGTAACCTTAACTAGTAGGCGAGCTCACGGGGCTCAAACCTGACGAGGTTGCTAACACGAACCCTAGCAAGAGCCGTGCTTCGCAGAATCTACCACCGGATCGGAAACGCGACCCACTGAGAAGAGCCGGCGAGAAATTCAGTGGGCTGTGTCTGAGGGTTAATTTGACGAGAACGATGACCGGTGTACCTAAAAGCACCGTTAGTGGATCGGAAGGATCCGAAATGACGTGTTTTGGAGCGACGTCGACTGCTTTCCACTCTGTCCGCAGTATCAGGAATGAAAGTCAGTAATCCGTTATTACACAATAAAGTTACACCATAAAAAGATTGTATTATTTTTTTAATATACTTTTTTTATATTAAAACTTGGCCATTTATTCCCGGTAACCCATTTAACCCCTTAACCAAATCCTTAAGTCCTGTACACAATCACGCGAGATTCGTCAACAACACGCGAGTAGATCCTATTCGCTTAGTTATAAATAAATTCAGTTATAATTCTTCTATTTTCCCGATGTTTGTTGTTGGTAATAAATCAAATGAAAATTAGATTAGGTAATTTAAATTAGCCTTTTAAATTGTAATGACTGCCATATAGATTCGCAAAACAGTTTAACCGCTGCGATGTACCGCAGAAATACAAAGAATATAGGGCTCGCTTCTTTCCAATATATTGTCGGAACTTACCACGTAAACATACTATCTAAATTTTAATAACAATTTTAAAAAATACTAGCTCACCCGGCAGACTTCGTAGTGTCTCAATCGATAAATAAAAGACCTAAACTTTTGTATAAACTTATAAAAAACAAAAGGAATCCGTCCGACGGGGGACACATTAAAGTAAAAACAAAATTGTTATTTTTATTTAATTCCGAGCATTTTCATATTAAAATTTATCTATCTTTTAAACCTTTTCTGTACTTCCACAAATAATTCAAGACCAAAATTAGCCAAATCGGTCCAGCCGTTCTCGAGTTTTAGCGATACTAACGAACTGCAATTCATTTATATATATAACTATATATAGATGCTAAAACTAAGATCTATATATATTCTCTACTGTTCTATACACCAACACAAATTCAAGTCGCAAACGTATAGTTTTTTTATCTGTCAATAATTATAGCCTCAGCCTCATTACTACGAAATAAATCGGACTCGATAAGACAAATCAAAACTAGCCCGTTTAGTCGAAGGTTTAGTACCTTAAGTTCCTTTATCAGATAGCTAGCTTAATGTCTAAATAATAAGTTAATTTACGCATGTCATGTTAATATTCTGAGATAAGTACGTCATAATCTATTGTCTATTTTCTATTTGTGTTGCACTTTTTTTTTTATTGCTTAGATGGGTGGACGAGCTCACAGCCCACCTGGTGTTAAGTGGTTGTTGGAGCCCATAGACATCCACAACGTAAATGCGCCACCCATATATGAGATATAAGTTCTAAGGTCTCAAGTATAGTTACAACGGCTGCCCCACCCTTCAAACCGAAACGCATTACTGCTTCACGGCAGAAACAGGCAGGGCGGTGGTACACACCCGCACGGCCTCACAAGATGTCCTAGCACCAGTAAAAAATATTTTTTTGTCAAAAATTGTCAATATACCGATTGACAGCCGGTAATAATAGCTCTCGCGTAAGCGGCTTGTCTAAAAAAAGATAAGAAAAGTCTCACGAACCTGCCAATTCCGATCCAAATTCAATTCGACATCCGCAAGAATCACCGATTCTTCGTGGACTCCATAATCGCATTACTCATTCACGCCTTCGAACAGTTTTCGTTTGGATTTCTCTATAATTTCACGATCACCATTTTGGGTTCGTTCGCCTCTACAAAGTTCTATTGTGTGCACAAACGTTTATTGTTCACCGTTGAATAAATAGATGTAAAATCCTCTTGAAATTTCCTATTCAAATCTTCCAGCAGCAAATTTACGAGCGCCCATCATAAGTATTACGCTCCTACATTTTCCACCTAGTAAATTGTATAACATAATGCGTGTCTCTCACATTAAATAACTACCATGTGAATTATAGTAATAATTCTTCTTTTCTCTCAATTGTTTGTTTTGCTTCGAAATTCAGTTGCGCAATTATTTTGTTTGTTTGTCTTGATCAAAGTTTTATTGTTACGTCATGTGATTTGTAAAAATGACCTCTTCACAAGCTCCATAATTATTTTACTATTTCCTTCGTAAGACAAACAAATTTTGTTACAGTTCCTGTGTATGTTACCAGTGATTTTTTTTTGGTATTCAAAGTAAATACTCTGTCATTTACTCTATTGGGTTAAGTTTAAATAAATAATGGTCATTTATGAATCATCCAAAATAAATTTAATGCAGTCCAAATATTATTTAAACTCCGACGAATCACACGGTTAATTTCATCACGAATACTTCTATATCTGTGTATCTCTCAGAAGTTAGTTCGCTGTCTAGAGGTGTTACCAATTGATTTTCTTGAATATGTTTTTATTATTTTTATCGTTATAATTTAATCTTTTTATCAGAAGTTTTTTTCTTCATAAATTTATTTCATGAACGAATAATTTTCTCACCCCAGCTTTCCGATACACAGCAACTTGTAGTTTAACTACAGGCAAATAGAAATATAGGCCTTAAGCTACCAAATAATATGGGTTTTATTTCACTTTCGTTAGCTAAACGAGATTCTGGTTTTGGGTCGAACAATTTGTAAGAGAACCGATATATTTTGACTGCAATCCAAATTCTTCCGGTCTTCTGTTATCATCCTCTAAGGCAGGTAAAGCTTCACTAATATTCCCTACAGTCCCGAACACTGAAGGCCTGTACGTTGTTAGATAGCATTCAGTACAGCGATTAGGTTCAACTCCCAGCAACTGGTCATTCAGCGCTAACATCCACGCGACCCGTGGCAGCGCTTGCGTTATTACCTGCAAATAAAAAAAATGACCCAAGATTAAATTGCACTTTACTTTCTGATGGTGCGAAGATGTTACAGCTTCGAACTTTCGCCTTAAATTATACTGAAATCGTGTCCGCGTCATAAAAGTTATCGTAATGTTTTGGTGATATTTGAACCGTTTTTCTAGATTCGGTGTGGCTATCTCAATTTGAATAGTTTTTAGTATAAGCTTTTACGATTATTTCTACTACATAGATGCAAAACGTTAATATTTATTTGAGATCGTCCAGTGGTCTATTGCATCGTGGGGGCTTTCCTTTTTATAGAAACTGATTTGTGGATTCGTGATTGTAAACAGCGTGAAATTATTAAAGCCAAACTTTTCCAAATTGGAACTTTTCCATTTTGGAAGACGTATTGAGGGTCCGTGATCTGAAATAATCGAGAAGTTATTTATTAATAATTATAATACCAAATTTATCCGCTTAGTTATTCAGTTTGAATGATGTCATTTTTTTTTTTCGACGTAGTCTGTTCAGAACTTCCATTACGCCAAAATAGGGAGACAATTTGTTAGTATCGTTTCATTAAATTTTTACAATGATGAATTATTTTCAGCACCATCTTAGGGATATAAAAATATTGAGTGTTAGAGTATTATATTCACAATTTACGATGAATAATACAATTAATAATAAACTATCTTTCCGAATTCTTAATTACTGATAATGAGTCCTAAGTGGTATAAAGAGGCCACTGTCGGCCTTACCGGCACCATTAGGGGCAGCTGATTCACTGAGCCACTTATCTACTGCTTGTGTACTCTACTCTCTAAGCCACTGCTAGAATGAATTACTCTTACCTAGGCCTTTATTTTTATTTTTTCGGTCTGGTGGCCGAACCTCCTAGGAGGTCCCCGCGCCTAGGAGGCGATGTGTTATGTGGGACTGGTCTGCGACTGCGAGACCGCAGGCCCAAGGATGTTTTCAAAATAATACCCATTAAACGACTCCCTTCCACTCTTCGCCCAAGGGTTTGATCCTAATACCGGATGAGGTCCTTACCTCACCGTTATTGCGAATTACCGCGGTCAACATTACAACCAAACGGCGCAGCTCACCCCTAGGTCAAAAAGCCGACGGAGCCTTGGCAGTGGCCCACTGGTGGTAGGACCTCTTGTGAGTCCGCGCGGGTAGGTGCCACCGCCCTGCCTATTTCTGCCGTGAAGCAGTAATGCGTTTCGGTTTGAAGGGTGGAGCAGCCCTTGTAACTATACCGAGATCTTAGAACTTATATCTCAAGGTGGGTGGCGCCTTTACGTTGTACATGTCCATGGGCTCCAGTAACCACTTAACACCAGGTGGGCTGTGAGCTCGTCCACCCACCTAACTATTAAAAAAAAAAACGTCACAGAATTTTTTTAAACCTTTAAAGAGAGAGATAGAAACCTTAAAATAATCCCTATTCTGGAGTCCTTCTAGCAAAGCAGTTTGTCATCAAACCACGCGACGTTATACGGTTTACGAGAACTACCACATTGTCTATTTTAGTGGGTGGGGTTTGCCACTCCGGTTTACCATTCCACGTTCGAGGATGATAAGTGGAATGTCAATGGCCAGTCAACGTGGTCTGAAAGGTTAGGACTCTACATGATTTCACTTTTTTATGATTGAACGATTACTGGTGGCCCGGAGGCCTTTGCAGTTTCACCAAGACAGGTGGACGAGCAAAGGCTCAACCAGGAGGGGTGGGATTTGCTAACAGCTGCCCGAGCGCCTCCGAAGGAGACCTAACAACTCAAGAGGAACTGCTTCGCGAATGCAATGATACGTTCACCAATTCCCATGCTGATACCAATTTTTCTAATATACTGTTATGAACCTCCGGATATGTTGGTTTAAAAAAAAAACACTTTAATTATTTTGGAGTATATCAGGGGAAGTGTGAAAGTAGCCCCGGTAATTACCAATTAAAGAGCGGAAGGTTAGCGTGGTAAGGACATGTGATGCATAGAAAGAAGATTCATGTGACTAGGAGATATATGGAAATGGTACGGCAAGGTAGAGGGGGAAGAGGACGACCGAACAAGACATGGATGGAGTGTGTGAATGACGATATGAGAGAGTGGAGTGTTGAGATGACAGCTGATATAAGACAATCGAATAGAATAATTGCCGTGCCGACCTCACCTAGTGGGATAAGGTGGAGAAAAAAGAAGAACCGTCATGAATGAGAGGATGATGGAGACTGACTTACTGATGTGAGCCCGATGTGTGCTAAGAAAGGTGCTGAGGTAGCGGGAAAGAGTGCTTGGTTAACAAGTAAGAGTGCAACGGGAATGTATAACAGTACGTAACAGATGTTCACAGACAACTAGCTAACTTGCTCGTTGAAGCTGGGCACATTGTTGGTCCGCATATAGGGCTAAAGTAGACGATGTAGACAATCAAGACATCTTATGTTCGACAACAATATATACAGTCGTGTATCAATGAGCTTTGATAGCCGCCTAACATCAGATAACATTAAAAAATCATATGGGAGCTTCTACTACGTTTGTTTTGGTAAGTTTATCACGTAATGCTAAGTCAGCGACTCCCCATTAACTCTCTAAGAAAATTGTGTGAAATTCCGTGATTATTATGTTATGATACGTTTTGAAATTTTGTGTTGCGGTAAAGTAATTTAATTATATAATAACTTTTCCATCGAATATTTACTTGGAAATTTAATAATTTTTTTTGGACTGTTAGTTAAATCGAGCTTGTGGCTCGTCTAGTGTTAATTGTCAACGCAGTCCTTTAACCCATTGAATTTCTCGCTGGATCTTCTCAGTGGATCGCGTTTCCGATCCGGTGGTAGATTCTGCGAAGCACGGCTCTTGCTAGGGTTAGTGTCAGCAACGTCGTCAAGTTTGAGTCCCGTGAGCTCGCCTACTAGCTTGGCAAATCTAGAATAACCCCGCGAGGTTACTAGAATATGTAGGACAAAAAGGAAGCAGTCCAGAGGAATCGCTATGTGGAAAGTTAGTAAAGAGATAAATATTATCCTCAAAATGAACGCAATATCTGTAACTATACTTGAGACCTTAGAACTTATATCTCAAGGTGGGTGGCGCATTTACGTTGTAGATGTCTATGGGCTCCAGTTACTACTTAACACCAGGTGGGCTGTGAGCTCGTCCACCCATCTAAGCAATAAAAAATAAAATAAAAACTATTTGCACACAAAACCGAAAAAAACATCCAAAAGGTGACTCCTTCAGCGCCATTTAAATTCGACCCGAATCGACGGGAAGTCGTGCATCTTACGCTCTCAATCTCTCAAAACGAGACAAAATATCGAACAAGAAAGTTAACGATATCAAAATAATTATCATGTTCGTATGCGCACAACTCATAAGTGCCTGTAACGAGATTGTAATTGTTCATGACGCTCGTATAGTTAACGAAAAAAATGGGAATTGAAAAAAAAAAAAACAATAATATTTTGACGCATCTTTGGTGTTTTATGGTCTGATTGTCATGGCGTAATTATATGTCGATCATGACGTATGTATAAAATAGGGGCTTGAGTATTTTTGCCTATTTCTGGTGTAATCATATGCGAGGTTCTTTTGAAGAGTTTTCAGAGCTGCCTGGGTTTGAAATTTCAGTGTTTCTTGACAATGCCATCTTGTGTTCCTTTCATGTCGCCATCAGCTTTACCTGTACCTATGTATTTAAGGAAATCTTTAAAAGTAATTTTAACCGAATTAAAACCGTTGGATTAACTAAAAAATTTGCACACGTATCAAAGATCGAAGTCATACGAACTCCACCGTGCGTTGGTCCGACACCAATGAAGTCCATGAGATCTGCACCCATAGATACAGCCTACTGAGCCTCTAGCCGGATTTTATCAGTGGGTCGCGATCTCGATCCGGTGGTGATTCTGCGCATCACTACTCTTACTACGACTAGTGTTAGCAAATTCTCTCAGGTTGAGCCCGAAAGCTCACCTAACAGCCCGTGAAAAGCTGGAATAGCCCCTCAGACTACCAAAGAGTTAAAAAAAAGCGCAGCATATACAAATCACATATAAATATTACTGGTGCTAGGACATCTTGTGAGTCCGCACGTGTAGGCGCCTGCCTATTTCTGCTGTGAAGCAGTAATGCGTTTCGGTTTGAAGGGTAGCCGTTGTAACTATACTGAGATCTTAGAACTTATATCTCAAGCTGGGTGGCGCATTTACGTTGTAGATGTCTATGGGCTCCAGTAACCACTTAACACCAGGTGGGCTGTGAGCTCGTCCACCCACATAAGCAATAAAAAAATAATAATAATAATACTATAATCATTTTTGTAGTTTTGTATTTTGTTTGGTATAAAATTAAAGGGTCAGTGATATTGCTCTGTGGAGCACGATTTCAAACCAATACTACCCTTGAAATTTCCACACGAACATGACGATAGCTCTTAGTATTACGACTGCTATTCCGATGAACTCCA